GCACATTCAAAGATGAGTTTTTAGGCATTAAAGTACGCAGGAATTCGCATGCATGTCATAAGAGAAACCACTAAAGGAACTGGAATCATAGAGAAAGTTTAAGAAAAATATAGTAATTGCTGGTCTTCAGAGACTTCAAGGGATGTCAGTTGGAATAATATATGGTGACAGAAGATGATTTGTGGTGGGCACACCATGCACTATACAGATCAAGTATCATAGAAAGGTACATTTGAAACCTATATGATCTTATTAACCAATGTTGACCCAATAAATGTAATAAAAAAGAATTATGTTCTATATAATCATAAAAACTAGAACTATGATAACTGGATCAGAGAAGTTACCTTCCTCAGTTAATGTCAGTGATGCATTTGCCCATGGTAGAGTGGGTCATAACGGACTTGGGAGCCAGATTTGTCCAGCTCTCCTATTTAAGAGCTGTGTGACCTCGGGCAGATTTACTTAGCTCCTCTCAGCCTCCTTTTTCTCATCTGAGGATCTAGCTATAAGGCTATTGCCAAGATTTAATGGGTTAACATATGTAAAAGCATAGAAAAAAGTGACTGGCACATGGATATTGCTTTATGTGTTAGCTATCATTATTATTAGTAGTTTTGGGGCATAGAAGGTAATCCACTATCCCACCAAGAAAATATTAGGTAAGAGAAGAAATTTAAAGTGGTATTCTTTAAGCAGCTTTAAATTTTTTATGGATCATTTGTAAGCCAATGTCAAGAAGTTGGTGAAAGTTCCCAAGTGTTCTGGTTGCTGGCTTGCCCACACTACTCCCATCAGAGTGTATGGGAAGTCAGCTGCCAGCAATAGCCTCCACCCTAGGGCCCAGGGCAAGTTTCTGACAAGGTTAGTTATTGCTTCCATTTCTGAGCTCATCTTCTTGCCTTCATATGTCACATACTTTAGTTTGCCTTCTCCATACATGTCCCTGGCTTCTGCATCAGTGGCAATTCAGAATCTGTTTTTTGTTTTGTTTTCTGACCTACTGTCCTTGACGCTCATCCTGACTCTTTACTGGAGGAGAAGGAGAGGGCACCAAGAAACTACTTTTTAAAATTCCCAGCATAAACTGAAGCCCATAGAACCACAAAAACAAAGTAAATATTAGATTTTCATGGAAAAACAGGAAAAGGCTTCTTTGTCTCTCCAGGAGATCAGAACAACCTTGACGTTTAGGAAGCAGCTAAATCAGGGTGACACTGTTTCTAAATGGTGGTTTGAAATTCCCCACACCACTGAGTTATCACCCAGAAATCTAACTAAAATTTCTCAATAACATCCTGGAATCACATTCATCACCTGTTCCACTCTATCCCTGAGCCATGCTTTTCATTACTCCTTATATTGAGTTCATTGGAAGGCTGGAGTCATCAGATATTATCTCCTTGAAAAACTAAAATCTATGAAACACTGCATATCATAAACAGTGCTTAGATATTCTTAAGGCAGTTTAGCTTATTAAAAACTCCAAGAACTCCTTCAGTAAAGAATCAACTTACCTGGATTTAATATAGTAATCCCTAGTTTATTCTTTCATAGAATTATTTTAGTCTATAGCCCATTAAATATGTTATAAATCTAATATTTGGTGAGTTTGTTAGCTATTAATTTTAGCTGCTTTTCTTTGAACACCTACAAAGTACTCATTTATTCTTGAAAACAGCCCTTTAAGTAGGGCAAGCATATGTCCCAGTTTGCCTGGAACAATTGCTATTGATCCAGAGTAATTATTATGCTCAAAAATGTTCCAGTTACCAATAATATAGACACTTGACCTGTAAGATATATGTTATTATCACCTCTGGGATAATAATACCCCCCAATAGCATGGGGTATATTGAAAAAAGTAACTGTCCTTGCCTGGACCCTATCAGCATATTTAGTCCATTGGAGTGTGGTGTGGACATCACTCACCCTAAATGATGCTAATGTGAAGTTAGAGTTGAGAACGTGGCTCATCTCAGGGGGAGAAGTCAATAAGAACTTTCTTTTTCTCCTCAGTAGCACTAAGTGCCATAGAAATTTGTCCCCCTTTATATACCTTAAAACTACTTTAAAATTTTTTCTGCCATGAAAGTTCCTTCTAATATCTTGCCATGACATGAAAATACCATGTAACTTTAACATTGAGAAATTGGAAGAGGTGCAGCTTGGGAGATCAGTTCTGATCAGAAAACCACATGATCTGGATTGTTGGGAAGCTTTACCTTCCAATGACCGACCTTAGAGACAGTAGTAGCCTCTCTGGCTTTCAAACTCCTCACCTGTACAATATCCTAGTCTCATGCCTTCTGTTATTTTTAAAGTTCTTAAAAATCTTCAGTGGGTTGTCTGAGTGTTCCACAGTTTATAAACACCCGAGTAAGATTCATTTTACATAAAATTCCCAAAGGTATTTTCAAAAAAGAGTAACCAAAGCTATCATTGAAACTTAATGACTTTTCCTGTGGGCTAAAATTTTCCATCCCTATGGACGAGTAAGTCTCTACTCTTACTTTTCATACAAATTTCTCCCCCAATATTCAGGGATATTGTTTCACATCAAAGTCCCTAAAAATACTTGCTCCTCCTGCTTATTGACCAGGCCCAGGACTGGTCCTATTTATAGACAGAAGCCTTCAATTTGTACTCTATGGTCTTAGGATAAATTTTAAGCTTTTCTATCATTCTTGACCACCATGAATTTGATTCATTCTCAGCTAACTGTAGCACAGATAGTACAATCAAGTCACTTTTTTTTCACATAAGACTGTCACTACTTACAATTCTCTTATCAAAATGTGATACCTTCTAGATTTTCTACATGTATAGTCATAACTAAATGCTTAAGAAGTCCTGAGTTGAAAGGTCAAATAGCTTGATTGTCACTTTTTTCTATAGATGTTGACAAACTGTATCTAGAAAAATAGCAGTAAGTCACTATGTCTTTTATTATGCTTATTAAACATTTTTGCTAAAGAAAAACAGCAACAGGCATTTGTCATGAGTACACACTTGAAATGTACTTGGCAGCAAGCAAATGAGAAAATGCTCTATGATGTCATATGCGCATTGCACCTGATCACAAATACTAGTGACATAATTTAAAAAATAATCTTTTATGTGTTGAAAGTGCCAAAATCATGCTGTGCTGTTCCTTTTGGAAAGCTGGTTGGTATATAGTGTTTAATGAAGTATTTTCAAACCATCCTTTTGTTAGGCTTGTTCCACTTTTGCTAAAGTTACGATAGCTTGCCTCTGTTAGTTTGTTTTGTTTTTTTTTAAAAAAAGGTATCACTTATTCTCTCTCTCTTTCTCTCTCTCTCTCTCTATCTCTCAGATATGGAATTAGTATTTTTAAATAAAGTAAAATAGCCTATTTTAGAGATGTGAAAAGGTTAAGTGCAAATGTGTTATTAATGTAATGTGTTGTTGGCATAAATAGACTAGAAAGGAAAAGGAATATTTTGATAAAAACATCCATACTTTATTATTTTAGTAATAATGTATTATGATGAAAATACAACCATGTTTTTTTTTTCCTGCCACTTTTTTGGTATAATGGCACATTGCAACTTGAAGGAAACTACCACATAACTAAAGTCATTTCATGTATATCCCTTAAGTGAATTGCCTTTCCCAGCTATCTAATTTACCCAATAAAAATTTTGTTGGTCAGTATTACAAACATTTTATTATTTTCTTACAGTCGTTTATTCATCATTTTCCATGTCACGTTTTGTCATCATGGAAGGAAAAATCACATTCAATTTTTCTTTCTTTTTCCCCACTCATGCTCTAGCATAAAATTGAAAACTTTTAGTTAAATGAATAGTTGGTTCAAATACTACTTGAAATATAGACACAGTATTCTCAACAAGAGAAATCTTGAATTTAAATTCCATTATCTTGTATAAAATATATTTTAATTAAATCTTGGAAACACACACACATTTCATAGGTATGACTTGTGATATTTTCCCCTTGGTTTTTGTATTTGCAGGCGTTCTCAGATCTTGCTTACAATTTTAAAAGATCTGCTTTAATTATCTAATTATTACAATATGGTGATGAACTGGAGTAGCATTTCAAGTGTAATTGATATGATTTGGCTAGCTTAACCAGTATTGCAGAAAACAGAGGAGAGGCAGATAGGTACTAGTATTGTTCTTGCCTTCCTATTCATACTTCTCCTTCAGATCCCTGAGCCATGCAGCTTGTTATTCTGCCACAATCTGCTATTGCCAAAACATCCCTGACAACAGAACTATGATAACTGCTGCAAAATTTTCTCCTCAACTTCCCAAGTGTTCAGTCATGAACAAAACAAGAAAGCCAGAAAATGTGAAAGGTACTGAAAGTCCAGTGCCTACAGCTGGTTTCAGCAATTGCAACTTGCGTAAGACCCCATGTTTGTGAAAGAAACCCAGGAATCTTTGAACAGGATGTAATCAACCTCCGATCTGCTGAGAAACACTGCAAAAATGACTTCAGCTGCCAAAAATAATAATGTCGTTTACAAGCAGCTTCTCCTATGTCTAAGGAAGAACTAGCCACCCAGGAGTGCGTGCTGGCTTTGGAGGAGCGAAAGAAGAAAGGGGCAAAATCTACCTCCCCCCACTTTCAAATACACACTATCAGAACCCACTGGAAGCTGTGGCCCATTCCAGAGGTGCTGGCAACATCGAGGGACATTCATATCCACAAAAATTCTGAACGGTAAGTGACCCTGGACAACGGGATTATATTTGGCAACAATTCTGTGCTGTCACTTTCCCTCTGTAACCAAGCTGCCCTGTCTCATGTTAAATTCCTTAGTCACGAACCCCAACCCAAATCTTTCCTCCTTTCTTTTTCTGCACCCTGCCTTCCCCTCCCCTCTCCCCCACCCCCAAATAAAAATATATTATCTGGCAGCTTCCCTTAAGGGACATCAAGAGCTTAGGAGGGAATATTCACGAATGCTCCTTCAGATAACTTCCATCACAAAGCCCTGCACCTACCTCGGCAAGCCTGGCTGCGGGGTCCGCATGGGCTGGATGTGAAAAAAGACCCGGTGTGATGGCTTCTCCAAATTTACCAGAAAGAAGGGACCTGGGATGCTTGTCCTTTAAGTGTCTCTAAACATGGTTTGCATAGCTGGATCTCTGCTTATCTGTGCCTTTCGGCTTTCGCTTCCATACATGGATCTGCTCCCAACAGTAACTCCAAGCTGTCGAAAAGAAGCTATCTGGCAGCTCCCCGCTTCATCCAACACATGGATGATAAAAATACACATATAGAGATCCTTCCAGCCAGGCCCGCTTCTCGCCCCACCACTGCCGCTGTGCCTTTTTGCAAATACCCTTTTCAGATCGACATTTCTCCTCTCCACACATTTAGAGAACTACCGGTTTCTATCTGATTCCCACAAAAGGATTTCAGGATAGGGGTTTGCTTAGCTTTTTGAAAACAGAATATGATTACAGTCCCAGAATCTTCATCCTTAAAGATTTTAGCAGTACGTTATGCATGGGACCCAAGAAATGTTTAGTGAATGAATGAACATATAAATGAATGGCTGAGCAAATGGATGACATTGTACGAGAATAAATAAAAACATAATGTATTCACTTAATTAGGAATAGTTGTTGACACTCTGGATTATTTGTCTTAAAGGATAAGGTAGCAGCAGAAGGTCAAAGTAATCAAAATATCTAAAAGAAAAGGAGAGGCCGGGTTCTTATTTCAACAACTTCTCATTTAGGATATTGTGGCAGTACTTATTAAGTAAGCTATCATAGAGTATATGGTTTAAAATTTAGAAAACGTGATTTTTAATGTAAAGAATGTAAACCCGAATAGAATATTAATTGCTACACTTGTTAAGTGTCAGTGATACTTTAAATGACACATGACTATGACCTACATTTTAAGATGGGGGAGGAGAAGGGGTGATGAATCCTGCTCTGTATAGTAGGTGAGAGGTACTCCCTCAGGGGTTGCCCAAACTCTGCTTAGCTTTCCAGGTCCTTTGTAATTTTGCTTCTCAGTTTTTAATTTTACCTTTCTCTCTCTTTTTAAATTTGTTGTTACTCAGTGTAACAAGAGGTCAAAATATGGAGAGAGAGAAAGAAGGGTAATTTTCAAATAATATATTTCCATTGGTAAATTTTTCTCAAAATCATGTTTAAACTTTTGTAGAGTTTCTCATCTTGAAGAAGAAAAAAAGAAATTTGAGGCATATGGGCACAATTCATTTTAGTGTACTGAAATAAAATTAGTTTACTTAAAAAATTTCAGAGGGAAAAAAGGAGGGATAGACAAAACAAGACTTGCGAAATAATAATTGTTACCAGGAAACAATAGGGGTTCATTATAGTATCCTTTCTACTTGGTGTATATTTTAACATTTCTATAAAAAAAATAAAAGAACAAAGAGAGAATAGTACAGAATGGATATATAAATGGCAAGCTTGAGGAATCATGGGTTTTAGTAATCTCTGTGCAAAATCACTAGGCCAGAACAAGAAGGGGCATCTTTTCATTCAAAATATTCTGACATTCTAACTTCTTCCCTCTAAATCCAATCATATATATTCATAGTCTATATAATAATATACTTCATG